CAACAAATGGTTGTGGACACCTGGTAGACAAAGACACTCTAACGCTGTTGCAACTCCTTGTGGACAAAGAAAAAAAAAAACAATTTGCTACAGGGCTCTAAAACATAAGATAGACAACATTTTGATATGTAAATCTGCAGTACAAGGTAGTAGTGGTTAGATATAGAAAATTATATAGTTAAATTGTTTTGTAAAATACACATTAGGTAGGACACCTTCCTACTTATTAAATTTCCTTATTTGTAATTTACAGATAACGAAGATCATTTTAAGATTCATGCAAATATCATCTAGAACTCGTTTATATTGACAATGTGTCAATAGTAGGTAAGTTTGACCACAACACACATGAACAAACATTTTTGCGGCGTAGATCTCAAGGACGACGATCGAAAACAAGAAACGATAACAAAAAAAAAAACATGAGTATTTTCCACGTCCTCATAGCAAATCATGCTCATGATCGTAATTATTGTGCATTTGGCATACAAATGTAAAATAAACAATTAAATTAAAACGCAATTTAAAACGAAAACTGGAAATATGGAATGCACATGAAACGAACTTTTCTTAAAGGCTATGTTGAAATGTCATACCTTTTAACATAAACAATAAACAACTCATATCCTTTAGAAAAAGAAATCCTAAAAATGTGAATAAATTCACCTTTCTCTGCCAATCTTTATGAATAAACGGAGAAAACCATATTTTCTTATAAAAGTCTTTCTACAGTGGAAGCCAAGGTTAACGGTGAAAGGTCATCAAAGGAGCATTAACCTCATTTCACTAATGTTACTTGATAGTCACTCTGCATGTGCATTTGACGCTCACGCATTTACCTAAATGCGTATCATTTTCTATTGAAACAGTAATACGTTGCCCACACTAAAAAAAACTTATCTAGATACATACATTGCATTAATAAATACGTTATTTTTATTAAATTCAGATTAGCTTGTAGATTATAGTAAAGTAAATTTTTTTACAAATGTTTAATACTAACTTTTGCCTGCGACTCCGCCCGCACAAATAAAATAAATCAAACAAAACTAGATAAGCAACCTTCTGTCCGATGTCTTAAATCGGTACGTTCGTTTAGACGTTCTGGAAATTTCTAGTAACTACCATCTTTCTAATTACCTCAACTCATCTTGCATACGCAGTAAATAATGATCAATATCACCAAAGATAATCCGATTAAAAATTTGTAGTGTACGTATAATACGTACGTAAATACTTAAATAAGCACACTACAAATTTTATTTTTGTTATAACGATAAGAGATATAAATTTTGAACAAGCTATCTTGAAACTAAGACCAATTCAAGCCAGTCTCGTTATAAATGTATTTAAAAAATATTTGTAAAAATTAAATAAGTATGCAAGTAAAAGTGGGTAATGTTCAATGCCAGACGTCGACGTTGCGTAGTGCCGAGTTATTTTAAGAATCCGCTATTTACGTGAACTTTTACAAATATCCAAAGATCCTGTGGTTGCCATATTTTTGTAATTTCATTAAATAAGCAAACAAGCAAACGGCCACTTGAATTAGCCGAAATTAGGAAACGATCGCGACCTATTAACATCTAAAAGCAGAGGCGTTCCTATGCCATGTGAGAAAAATAATAAACTCCGTGGCTTAGGCTTTAAATAAGGGAGTTAGTTTTGAACTTTTAAACTCCACGAGGATAAAGTTGAGGACAAAACTTAGTACGTATCGAAGTATTAGGGAAAAAGTTATGATATATAACCAATTTTGGCAAACTCGTGTATAAACCGGTCTCACCTGCTATAATGTCTTGAATAAATTCTTTTATACTGACGTCATAAGAGGTCTAAGGACGTCCTCGTGTTATCGTAAAAACTTAAAAAAGAGTGTTAGTTTTTAGTGTTAGAGTTATTTATCTACGCATGGAAATTAAAATTAATGGAATGGTACAAAAGAATTCTAAATACGTACCACACTGACCATAATAAATTTATAAGCTATAAACGAAGGTATTTTGTGCCTATATGATTTTCGCCATTTTTGGAACAGTTACTTAAATGGGTGGTTTTCAGCGGGAATTAAGCAAAAGCTTTCATTTCCAAGCAATGTCCTATTTACAGAGATCAGTGAACTATCTACTTAATTAATTTGTTCAGTACATGTGACCAGCCATGTGCAATTTGCTATTTTTTCCTATTTACATTTTAATTATTAATATTTATTATTACAGCTCTCGTGCAAATAAACGTGACTGTTTATAATATTTTAGGGTTATCCGTTAAATAGCAGCGTTACAATTTTTTCGAGTAAATAGGAAAATTACTAGCTTTCGCACGCGACTTTGTCCTCGTAGAATAAAAAAAAGCAAAAGTTAGCAGCCTACGTGTTATTCCAGACTATTATACATCTATAACAATTTTCATCAAAATCCGTTCAGCCATTTAGGCTATCAATTGTAACAAACATCCATCCATCTAAACTTTCGTATTTATAATATTAGTTTGAAGTATGATTGATTATGCTCGACTTCGGTTTTTGCGTTTATTTTTTTGTTTTATTAAAATATGATTAAAGTAAGAACATATTTTCTTGATCTATTCCAAGTTACATTAAAAAAATACTGGATTTTAAAATATGTAACATTAACTTCGAATAACAATTACAAATCTACTCTTTACCTGAAAACACGAAATAAAACCACCTACTTGGAACACCACAAATTGTCAGCCCTGATATTTACACATTGCCTTCTATGTTCCCATCTTTGTGACGTCATGGATCACATGCTTCAGTCCAAATGCATGTGCTTGCAAAAGTACGTGGGAGCTGGGTACGTGCTCATTCCAATCCAGACGGCGATGCTATTATATTCAAATTAGTACCACAAATTATAAATTAGTCTATCATTACTTAGCCTTCTGTGTATAGTTGCTAAGTGACCCGTGCAAATATTTCGCAGAGTTTTCTTATCAAAACTACCAGTCTGTAATGCAAAAGATAATTAACGTAAATTAAAATATTGAGATATCATTTTATATTACACAAAATATTAATAACTCGCTGTTTACGAGGTAATAACTTTTATTCATTAACCAGGTAAGTATAAAATAAAAAAAAAGCTACATAGAAATATCTCCCTTTTCTTCAAAGACTGTTTGATGTGTATCATTTACAACTAGTTAAGTATTTACTTAATAAGTCTAACTAAAAATATTTATTTAAATAGTTACATTAAAAAAAAACATACAGACGAATTGAGTACCTCCTTCTTTTGGGAAGTCGGTCAAAAATTAGTTTAACTCCAGCTTAAGAAAAATGTACATAAATTAAAAAAACTGCCATCTATAACTCCATGTAATTAATGCTGCATAACTGGAACATGCAGACTATATAAATCAATTTTGTTGCATAGAATATACAGTAGATGGCAGCAGTAGTATAATAAAATTAGTTTTGGCCACACATAATCTGACAATCAGGGGATAGTCTGAAAGAACATAGGCAACTTTTGTTTTTTTGAACTCCACGCGGACGGAGTCGCGTACGAAAGCTAGTTTGTAAGAAATGTGGTAAAATGTATAAAAGTACTACAAAATGTAGTAATCGCGGGAAAATAAAAAATCATAATTTCATAGAAGAAATAAAAAAAATCAAGATAATAGGTTTCTATTTTTTGTTTTTTAAAAAAATATACTTAAGAGATTCTTCTGACCTTCAATTTAATTTCAATTTTATCAATCAGTAAGGTATATAAAGATCGTCCAAATCTAATTTTCAAACCATTTTTCTAATATAGCTCTGACATTTACTGCTTCAATAATCGTTAAAACACAATTTATTGACACCAAAAACTAGATTAAGAAAATTATTAACGGTAATAAAATCCAAAAAAGTTAGTCTACACCACCTAATAAATTATTAACAAACATATAAAAATAAAAAATAGTTATTATCACGTGTTTTATCAATTTATGGCTTACCGAGTTTTTTACGATTCGAACTGAATTATGTATTTCCTTCTTACTCAGTATTGTCTTGTGAAAAATGTCGGACTTCAGTAAATTAGACTCATTGATTACTCCTGAACTTGTTTCTTTAAATCTTGCGATCGTATACTCCCGTCGGGCCTTCCGTTGATATGTGGATCCGGCTCAGGATACATTTTGTTCGTAGTTTCAACATCGGCTCTGTATTCGTAGTTTCAAATTCTTTCACCGTTGAAAAACAGAGTTGTTTTTGAGTGGAATAGTCTAAGTTTCTTTATTATTTTTTTCATATGCTATAAACGAAGCGACCAGTGGTCACACATAAATCCTGTGGGTTTCTGTACCACTTATAACGTCTCTTATTGTACTTTTAAATTTATGCTTTTGTCTAATAAATAAAAAAAAAATAAAAATAATAAAGGAATCTACAATCTACGAACAACATTTCTGATCCAAGGTGAATAGTACTTCATTGATGGATATTAAATTATATCTGAGCACATTTCGATACAAAACATCAAACATAATTCATCAATGTAATAAAATAATTTATCAGATTTATTACGTAAAATAAATTTAAAATTGATCACTTGCACTTTTTTTTCAATGAAGACTGTTTTATGATTATTTATACCATAAAAACATGACAAAAGAAATTAACAAAACTCTGCAGGGTTCTTTACTTTATAACGTAAACAAACATAACCAATACCCAATACAATAGAGAATTTAGAAAATAAATAGTCCGAATGGATTTGCAATACAAAGTTATGTACACAATTAAGAACATCACACTTTTACAAAATTCATAGAGTCCTTTTAGGTTATAGACGGATACAATGGAGTGCACATACGCACAAACAATACTCTGTTCAGTCAAAAAGAATTGATACGATCATGGTTTTAAATTAAACGTACCCCCAAAAAATATGAAACAGAATAAATGATGCATCTAAACATATTAGTGCACATATGTAATAATTTCAATCAATAAAATGCAGACGTAAAAAAGAGACCACAATTTTTTCTAGTGAGTTTTGCACTATAAATTCGCGAACTTGATTAAGTTGCAACAATTTTATGTAACGTATCCGATCAGGTGCATTGCAAAATGCTGGTAAGCTTAATATTCTGACAAAAATATTATAATAAAATTAATAAGTTAATTTTCAGTGACTTTCAAATAACTTCTTTCTCTGCCTATTAAGGGTTCTAACTTATCCCCTCGTTGCAAATTCTGCTTTATCATATTTCTTCTTACAAAAACTTAACTTATGTACATCTAACTCAATTTCGCTGGTTATATTTCTCCTCTTTGTTTCAGAAACTGTCAATTATTGTTGTACTGACTGTAATAGCAGTCAGTACTGCTGTACCGTACGAGCGGGAGCTTACTCCTAACGCGCATGCTCTCCCGGAGTACGCACTAAAGCGAGTACCGACTGCAGAACATAAAAATGAACCCACGGACACGTCGGATTTGAAAACTGACTCCAGTCTGTGGTGGAGCCCCGGATACCTCTACCCTTATACGTATACGAGGGTTTACAGTCCAGGGTAATTTGAATAATTCTTTGGAAATTCACTTACGACTCTACCATTCCTCTATGAGTGAAATTCGTTTACAAAAGATGTTGTAATTTGATAATGAATTGATAATGTAATATTTTTGCAGACTATGAAAATTTTCTACTACTATTCTATTACTAGATAATTTTATTTTTCATTTCAGTTATCACTATAATCCGGATGTGGTCTACTCGCCTTATTACACCTTGTACCGCTAAAATGGCGGGCAAGCAAGATTTTGGCCTTTCAATAATTTGTCGCTAACGTTTTGTCAATAAAATAATTCAATAACTATCTTATGGTTGATTTTATATTTTATATAGATCTAGTATTGTACAAAAACACATGTAGATATTACTAGCGAACACTTTTCAAAGCTTTTTAGATTTTAAATAATAAAACTACGTTTAACAAAATGTGACTCTAACAGAGGTTTTGCCAACAACATCTGCAAATAATTATTTTTAATTCTAAAATGTACTACAGAACGGTAATTCGTTTGTTTTGCCTTTTTCTTTAATGTTATGATCGTGTTACATCAAATGAATCATGTAATTCGTAAATTAGGTCATGTCATATTAGAAATAAAATGTTACGTATTTTAATCAAATCCTTTACTACATCAATCCAAACTGAAGTAATACAATTAATTACGATGGTGGTTTAATATCAGTTGCTTGATAAAGTGAATTAATCGCAATATCTGAAGATACGAAGGCCATCGATTTAGCGAGTGTTGCTAACGACAACGTGTCCATTATTATTCTATTTGCTACATGGTTCAATTTTGCACCTTGTGATTGCGCAGTGTATTTAACGGCTAATTTAATAACGCGTTCACAAGCGAGCGATTTCGATGTCGCACTTTTAGCTTCTTTGCCAGCTTGCTGGGCTGCTGTTTTAGCTAAATTCATCATCAAGTCCTGATGATTAGACATACCGTTTTTAGCAAACTTCACGGACATATTAACTTCAATAGATGCTGTTAACGCACGGCGCATAGCTACCACACTAGCCGCGGTTAAATATGCCACATCACCAGCGTAAAGTATAGCTTTTTTCGCTTTAAGTTCAAGTCGCTCTAATTTCTGTTTCTCTCTCTTTTCATTAACACTTTCATCGTCTATTTCTGGCTGATCTAATTCCATTTCAGCAACTATATCAGGATTTAGAGCGTAAATGTGATCTTTTGGATCTACCCAATCATCGATCAGTTCAGGATTCGATTCTTGTTTGTTAATAGTTTGACTATCAGCAGATACGTAATGTGTTCCATTAATAGCTTTTTCTAAGACAATAGCTTCCGACTCGTTGTTGATTTGCTCGCTGTTTTCACTGTCTAATACAGTTTTATTCAAAAACCCTTTTACGGGTAAAGAGCCACTATCACTTAAGGATAAAACGCGGAATGGCAATTTATCATGGCGAGATATCACTGAATACGGTGCATTAGACATGTATAATTTATTTTCTTTTACTGTCGATGTCGAATTCACTATATCTGGTGAAGGTAAGGGTTTGTTTAGAAGTATACTAAACAATGTAGACGAAGATTGAGGAGATGGTGTTGTTTTATCTTCAAGTGGGATCGCTCTCTTTTTCCTAAGTGATAAATCAACGGATTGCTTCTTAGATAAAGCTTTTGCATACGTTATATCTTTTAAAGCAGAAACAATGGACACTTCAGCTGCAATTTGAGCCAAACCGTACACTAATCGGTGTAGTTCAGGTTCTGTTGATGCTCTTGTTATACTCAAGATATGGCTGGATAGGGTTCTAGATATGTAATCCAAAATCCGTCTAGTTTCAATAGCTGTTATGCCTTTATTCTTTCCAGGAGCGTCGAGGGCTTCTCTAGTTATCCGTGTAATTTTATCTTGAATCTCTATCTTCGTCAGGACGGCTGATACCAAATTTTTTGATATTTGATATAGATTTTCTTCCATTTGCGGATTTTGTGTCACATTTTTAGTCGCCTTCAGTATGGAATTATCAAAGTGCTTGATTCCAGTTTGAGGTGTTTTTAATAAATACCGTTCGCTAATAATTTTGGGGTTTAATTTATTTTTCAGGTCATGTATAGGGGATATTCCAGCTGCAATTTTGTGTATCTGAATAAAATAAAAATATTGCATTAATTTTGAATATTGATGTAAAAAATATTTTTTAATATAAATAACTTACTTGCAAGAATATAACTAAAACAACAATACATACTCGCAGCATTGCGTTTACAAGTTATTACAGTCAAGGCAGAAAAGCATTGCAATTAAATGTAGTTTTCAACAACTCTGTAGAAACTGTTATATTTATCAAAAGAATTTAATTAATTGGCTTTTAACAAGCAATAAAGTTGCCATAAATGATATCAGAAAATCGATACTAATAGCAAAACAGGCTAAAAACATTGACCGGAAAAACACCTTCACTTCACGATTTCTTTTATTAATAGGTAATTTAACGGTTCTACTTCTTACTTACCTAAAATTTACACATATTTTTTAACCAGCAAAAGCATTGTACATTGTTATTCGACGTTTACTGTGTTCTATTCTTCTGTAAACAAAAAGTGGTCGATACACATAATTACTAGTAGCAGAATTTAATATTTCCGACTTATTAGATTCATCAGCATTATTCTCCATTTTTGTATATCGTTCAAAACCATGATTTAAATTATCGACAACTCTTCCATTATCTTGTAATAATAATACTTGTTCGTTAGTTTTATTAGTAATGTTTTCTAGTGAATTTACTATTTGAATGAATAAAAGACATAGAATTACTGTCTTCATGTTAACGGACGGTCGGATTCTGCACTGACATTGATTTAAATTCATCATGTATGAAGGACAAGGAGATTAACAGTCGATGTATAATGAAAGAAACTCCGTAATTAACAACATTAACAGTGGGTGCATAACTTTAACTAAACTATCGCACAACTGTTGTGCGACTTTCGATTGTTTTGCAGTCAATTCAACTAATTAACTTATTAAAACTTTCGTGAGACATTATACTACATAAATTATAACACGGCTAAACTCACGTGATAACATTCGGTGTAGGCATCGACAGTTTCGAACCCGTTGGGGGTCCTTCTTCAGGGTGAGTGATTAATCGGGTATACTCGTGATCGGGTATACTCAGTGACCGTCGCGACGCGATAGCGAGTATACAGGATTAATCACTCACCCTGAAGGACCCCCAAAGGGTTCGAAACTGTCAGTGCCTACACCGAATGTTATCACGTGAGTTTAGCCGTGTTATAATTTATATAGTCAATTCAACTGTTTAGTCGCACAACTAAAACGGAGTAGTGTATACCATATAAGCTCATAGGAATCAAAGTGTGACTAAACAGTTGTGCGATAGTTTAGTTTCAGGTGTGCGCATGCTTTTACGGTATAAAGATTAGATTAACCATAAGATCATAATCTTCATTATACAACTGTGATTTCGTTCTATTATTACCTGTTTCTTTAATTTAACTTTAATTAATTACTTCAATAACGTTCTTCGTTGTATGTAATTTCTTTGACGTACTATAAGCATAGAAAAGTATTTTACGAAAAATTATTACGTCATTCTTGTTATTTATTTAAACAAATATATTATCCATAAAGTATTAAATGATTAAATGTGTGTCGTCATCTAAACCTTGCTTGTAGATGTCACAACTCACATGACACAGCTAAAGGGCTTCAGGGTTGTGCATAATGCAGTGTCAAGGAGCATACTGCCTAACTACGCAACTATACCAATTTCCATAAAAAATATATACTCAAACGCACACATGAAGAACATGTAATCAAAACATATGGTGTTAAATCATTTAAAGAAGAGAGGATAAACAACATTGCTTAGAGGCCATGATCTATAATAGAAGTAGAGTTATATGCATATTCTTGATGTTAATAGTGAAAAAAAAATATTCATGGATTAAATAGAAAATTGTGAAACGATTATGGCAATAGCAATAAAAAAACGTTTAGTATCTACATTTTATATCAAGTTTTTATTATTTAATACACTAAAATCACAAAATATAACGTAATTAAAACTAATCCATATTCCTTCTATCACTTCTACATTGATAGGGCTTAAACAATGTCTATTGAGCAATATACATTAATTCTAAACAATATCCATTATGTGTAAAGAGGTCGATCAACAATACTGGCCGGTGTGCACGTTGCATAATTAAAATCAATTGATATCACAAACCAAAACGTAGACGATTAAAAAAATTAACCAAGGTAAGCTGGTAAAACTTTGATACGTCCGTGGCCCGCCAGTTGGAAGTTATCACCGAAGGGCGACCCATCCACATCATCGTGAGACGGCAGCAAGTCGCTCTCTTGTCCGCCTAGTTCCCGACGAGCTCTTGACACTGGAGCCTTAGGTTCAGAAGCAGCCGAATCTTTTTCCGCAGCACCAGATTTCGCAGCATCTCTTCCTGTAGCTGATGGTGTTTCTTTTAGCGGTATGTGCTGGATCACGTCCGCTTCCACCGGTGCGCACGCGCAGACGGCCAGCAGCGCTAGCGATGCGACGACGAAGTACATTGAACGCATTTCCGAACGATCCTATTTTGTATTAGTACCGTAAAACTGTAACTGTGTCCCTTGGAGAGAATCCTTTGCCTTATAAAGGCCGTATTGAGTGCAGTAGCCATTAAAACTAATCAAATCTGTGTACACAAATTGTATACTTAAACAATCTTATATGAAGCAGGATTGACGCAGATGGAGGAAATTAAATGACAAGAGTACATACTGTTCACACAAATAATCGAATAAACACGAACCTTGCCACGCTCTAATTGGACGCTAACTGAACACTACCAATAAATATGAGAAGACATAAAAATAACATGTCATGAGACTTAACGTCTATATTTGTGTTGTTTATGTGAACGATCTACAATGGCGTCGTTTCAACAAAAACAACTATTACTCGTATTATAATGAAATAGGTACTAGCACTGGACCACCATTCCACCTGATGTTAAGTGAAGTATGATGGTCGAAAATGATACGCGCTAGTTAAGTAAATTCCTACTAGAACTAGCTTCACACAGCGTCACCCTTGGACAGATACACGAACGCTCGCTGCAAAGAACTTGTTCCACACCTTTGTTGTACTTACATTGAACGAAGATTCAAATCTCTTCGTTTGACTCCGTGGGACATCAACTGAAAGGGCTAAGACCTGCCTAATTATTCCATCAGGAATACTTAGGCAGATAAAAGAAAATAGGGAAATTAACTACATAATTCCTGTACATATTCCCCAAAACGCAAATATTTCGGTAGTATTGTTCGATTTTTCGGTGTGTTCCTTAGAGATCCCGGAACCTTCGTCTATGTCACTAGAGAATGGCCACCAAGGGGGTTTTAGTAGGTCAAATTCTACATAACCCTGCCTTCCCCCCAAAAGGCATCTTTTGAAGATTTCCCCCCGACACCGAAAAAAAGGAAGTATTGTTCAATTACAGCCAGAAACTTTCATTGTCGACGTTTAATATTTCAACCGTAGAAGACCAATAGCTTCAAGTCTAACACAAATATCACAGGAATAACAAACAGTACGTCTATTCCGCAAAAAACGCTAAAAAATATTAATGACAAGAACAAATATTCTAAAAATAGATCTGTACACTATAATGTCGAGCTAAGAGAACATTTGATCAAAGTTGCTCATGTACGTATTTGAATAAAGTAAAAAGTCACCATCAAGGATTAGTTCTTTTTTTTTAACTTTAATGAGCGTGATAAGCGCAAAAGCTGTCGCATGATTCAACTTGATTTGAATCTAACTAATGACGTAATTTATCGTAAGTCAGATAAGAAAAAGAACAAGGAAAATTCAAATATTTTTCCGGAGTCATCTGTCTTCCTAGCCTGTATCCCATTTGATAGTAGGATCAAGTTTCCTTATCATTAACCTAATTTCGTTCTATCTACGATATCCTAAACCGAAACTTGGCAGCTTGGCACTCACACATGTCTCAGCACCACATCTTTCCACCTTGTTTTGGGTCTGCCCCTAACTCTGATCATAAACATAAAAATCTAGACAACATATCCTAGAATGAGATCGACTGCGAGCGACTGCCTAAAGACATCCGGCCTCTTCGTTCATCGAATATTTTCTTATTTTAAGTAATAGGACTTACCTTCCTTAATATTATTTCTGGTCACACCTTTGATATTTTACATTGCGGTCTGATCATCATTCTATCAATTACAACATACGTACCTACAAATGATTCATAGATTTCAAAGTATTGTATCATGTTTTGAATCAACCTTTAGTCATAATTTTCAATATAATCCATAACAAAAGTTATCCACGGACATAATGGCATTGAAAATATTTGTTAGTTGTATTAGCGACATACTGCGTACTTATGCGTCAATGCATCCGATTCTGGACATATTGGTTAGCATAATTATATTTACTTGAACGAGAGATATAAAAACTACGAGTGCGTCGTTTAGATCATTAAAAGAATTGTTACTATACGAAGCAAACGTAAAATTAAACCAGCTTTTTTTTAAACTGAAAATCAAGATGGCGTCTCAGCTTCTTTTATTAATTATGGCAACGTTGGCACTAATTAACGCCGCTCCAACAACTGAACCTGCGGAGGAAACGACGACAGATGTCGCTGTACCTTTGGTGGAATACATTGAAGTCGTAGAATTTTTACCAGATGTAGTCGATCTGATTACAGCGACAGAACAGAAGGAACCAGCAACAGAAGAAACCACTCACAAAGTAGCGAAGAGATCGCTTCCTTTCAACCCTGGTAATGGACTGTTGTCAGATTTCGAAGGCGGCAAAAACGAGGAGTCCGATCTTGTAGGAAGAATACGGGTACTACCTTCTTGGGTTGGTAAATAATATTGGTTTATCTTGTATAGCTTATTCCTAATAATTTTGTACACTAAGATTTATTTAAATATGCTTAATGTTTACAATTATGCCAAAGGAATGTGATGAGATATTTTTAAGTTTTTACCCAAGAAATGTTATAATTTTTTCTTTTTTTAATAAAGCTTTGTTACATCGTTCTTTATTGTTTTTATTGTATAGTCTTAGTATTGTAAAAACTGATCACAATAATTTATCACAATACTTAATATTTTTTTTTTATAATCTGTATTGATTATGCAGTTTCATTTAAATCAAAAAGATAGCCAGGAAACAAAAAAAAACATCGCTCTATTCTTATCTTTTAGGAAAAGGGAGATTACAATCGACAGGGGATATAAATCGGAAAGGAAACTTTTTACTTTATCCATTTCGGCGTTTTAGTAAGATTTATTTATTTATTTATACAAACCACAATATGACTGTTCACATATAATTTTACAAATACAAAATATAAGATATAATAGTAAAACAAAAACATAAAAACATTTTTTTATTATTATTCTTACCAAAATTTAATTATCAAATCTTGTTTCGTTTTAAGTTTCTTTATAAATTGCATCATTGTTTTCTATTTCAATTATAGCATCCACGCCGTTTGTTACAAACAGTATATTAACGGTAATAACATTTCTTGATACTTTATCTGGGTCATAATCCATATAATCATTGGTATCTTTAACTTCGACACCGGTCTTAAGTAATTCTGAACTAAGGAACAGACCGTCTAAAATCCTTCCTAGAGCCAAAGTAACGGACATCGATAGGAGCAGAAAGTGTACATGTCCCATTCTCAACTCGTACTGTTATGGCGAAGAAAATGCGGTGTATTTATGTTTGTATAATATTTGATTATGCCATTTAATATAATAACTTAAGTTAACATTTTATAAATGCGTCATCTTGAATGTTATGTTCTAAAATGTAGATTCTACAACATAACATATTATCAAATTGGTGATTTCAAAAAATTCCTGCACCATGAAAAGCTATGTTATCACTGAGTAACACAAGCTATGTTTATTACTGGTATAAAAATAAATTAGAGTTCTTTAAAAACGAAAATTAAGTTAGCAGTCAACCTAATAAAAAATAAATAAGTGAATAATTAAAAAGTTATTCAAAAATAATAAAATACATACCTCTATTTCTGCTACAAATTTGGTTCAAACCGGTTCAATTATTCTACGGCACAAAACTTCTTTTTTTTTAAATAAACACAATTACACTGAGTTCTTAATTATTCTTCCTGCAATAAAAGTTTCAAGATTTATAACGAAGGCAAATGACAACTTATCGAGGTTCTACTGTACTTCGTTTCACTGGTATGTAAAATGAAATACAATTTAGTGTAAAATTCATTTAATTTAATAGGCTTTTATTTTACGGGTTACATATTCACTAATTACAAAACAAATAACCTTATATCCCACCTGGTTGAAAAGTTCGCTTTCAGTCCCTGGAATAAGGGTAAAAAGTGTCCGTTCTCCTTAGAAAAAGACATGAAAAGACCAGTACGATGCAAGTTTATTGCCAGTTACAAGGATTATTCAAACATAGCTGTACCCGTGCGGCTATACCACATGAAATTATAAAAAGTTTATTTTATTGTTTACGTTTGTCAAATTCTCAATTGCAAATGTCAAAATACCCGTTACCATAATAATCTTGCTTCCTTAATGTTGGCAGCTTGTAGTTTATAGTGCCTTTCCCACATGAAGGTTTTTTCCAATTTATTTAGCCCCTAAGTTTAATTGTGTGAAAATATATAGCCTAAAGCGCGTCGTAATTGTAGGACTTTTTATTAAAAGAATTATTCAAAAACATGCTGTGACTGCTGATATTTTGACGCCACAAAGTAGTGTGTGTTTACGCTTATTATCTTAGTAAAAAAAGTATTCAATGTATACTACAGACGAGAAACATTCATCGTGTAAATGGTCCTTTAGTGTCTTTTTGGCGGGAGATCGCGATTAAATGGAAAGTAAATGGGCGTTAATGCGCATGAGCCAAATTTATTTTTGTCCTGGTTACCTAGCAACCGTATGTTTATCAAAACATTTTAAAATAGGATAGAATTATTTATCTAAGTCGGGAAAAATGTATTCGCATCTATGGAGAATATATCGCAGATTATCTCTGCCTAGTTATGTACATAATGTTATAACAAATTTCTTTAGTTAAAATACTCTCACCGACGAATACTTTGTTTTCTAAGCGTTGCTTACAATCTGACAGAAGTCAAAATTTTAATAGACAAGTTCACAACGAACTGCCTCAACATTTTAGTAACACGTCAATTTAATATTTTAATACTATCTAGAAATAAAAAATACAGATTCAGGAATGTTCTACCGGACAAGGTAATTTCTAAATTCTAATTTAATATCACAAATTCATTTTCCTACGTAGTCACACAGTCTTACATTTTATTACTACCAGAATAAATGAAATTGGCAAGAATTGTACATATTAATAAGGGGGCGTCCATAAATTACGTGAGGTGTTTTATTAAATTTTCTGATGGTGAGATGTAAGATTGTTTTCAACCCTCTCTCCCAACCCCCAATCTCACGTGAGATTTTACAAAATATATAATCTGGTTAAAATGGACCAAAATTGTATATTTTATTTGGTTTGAATCAGAAAAAAAATATGCGTGATATTTGCCGCGACCCCCCCCCCCCTTGCTCCAACGTAAGATTAGATGAGATTTGACTCGACCCCCTCCCCCCCTTAAACACCTTACGTAATTTATGGACTCCCCCTAAGTAATAAAAATAACAAAGTAATAAATAAATTGTACATAAAATACATAATTCCATAGCATTTAAACAATAAACATGATTTCAATTCTCAAATTGAGCAACTCCGTAATATTGAAGCATATGCCTCTTTCGCATACATTTAAAATTATCATTTACATATTTTATAACATAGTACGCTACACTTAGAAATAAATTGACCCTTTGTAATCCTAGCAACTTATGAATACTTAAAATTGCATTACAAAAATCAACAATTAAATACATGAATGAAAATCTATGAAAACAGGAATAAATAAAGATATTTTAACATCTATAACTTCGAATTTCGTCCAAAAATGTGTAATGAATACATAAACTCAAAATCTTTACAATCTAGAGCAAGTTCAGGGAAAGATCGAAGTCATAGTGTACCAATCTGAATATTATAAACTTCAAATTACCTAATTTACATTAATATCTATAAAAAAAAATCTTTGACATTAGTCTTTTGTAAAAAGAGAGCAAAACCAGGTACAAATATTACTTAAACACTACCACAGATAAAAAACTTTTTAACCGTCACCTTAAATGTCTTTATACCCAAGGAATAAGTATAAATGTCATCTAAATAATGGCAAGCAAATTAATATTGCCAGCACAAACAGCCAGCGTTATTTACTGTAGCCGCCATTTTGTTCCGCCATCTTGTTATTTATAACGTTATCGCAGACATTTTGCGTTTTGGTCTCAGTGTACCAACCGCACAATCTTTTCACAGCATCCTCCCAACGAGAGAATGTGTATTCGTAACTTTTTTTCACATGAGCCCTTGGTATGAAAACTTTACCGATTTTCCGTAACGATATAATCTCGTCCTTTGATTTGAATATACCTATAATTGAAAAAAATAAAAAATAAAAATGGACAATCCATTTGCAAGTATTTAATAAGTTTTCTGTCTACATGTCTGTCTGTGAAAACTGTGCGATATGTGATTTTTACAAGATAGCTAACGTAATTTACCTATTAAAGAAAAAAGGTGGTATACTGAAAATATTTTGGAATCAACATGTTAAGAAAATATGCAGGTTGTATGGTAGAAAATAATTCTGCGTGCTAGAGGCCTAGTCCCCTTTGTCTTTCCATCCTTTAGGTACAAGTAAAGGAAAAGTGGAAGTCGATTTAGCCGAGAATGAATCCTCTTTTTGTGCGTCCCCTCTCCTAGTAAAGGTGTACGTATATACGACATCGGTCGTGTTAATTTATAAAGTTTTAATACATTACATGGATGTAAAATGTAGAAAAAGTAACTGACGCTTCCAAAAAATGTATGTCTAAAAGAAACTGGAGAATATTAAAGACAATTAAAACCTTAAAAAAAATCTTTCAATGGTTACAAGAGGTCGCTTCCTTACTTATTTTTGTGAAATCTAGTAACTTATTCCTTAATCCTTACACATCTTACTAATATTATCTTACTTCATACTAATATTATAAATGCGAAAGTTTAGATGGATGGATGTTAGCGTATGTAGACTAAACGGCTAAACGGATCTCAATTCAATTTGGCATTAGTAGAGGATATTCTGGAAGAACACAGCCTATTACCTTTGTATTTGTTAATTCCACGCGGACGGAGTCGCGGGCGAAAGCTAGTAATAGAAATAAAATCGTGTACAGTGTTGTAGTTATAAAGTTTTATACCTAAATGCAGTCCGACGATGTGCGCACAGCCCAGCGAGGACATCTCGACGTGCGCGGCGCGCTCCACGCGCAGCCCCGTCAGGTCCGACACCAGCTGCGCCACAAACTCGTTGTTGGCAACGCCACCGTCCACTCTGATAAACAACGCTTACATGTACCATGCCACTACTGGACGTGTATAAATATGTATTATTTCATTAAAATTGCATAAAAGAGTGTTAAACAAAGAAAATGTCGATATATATCCATGATTATAAGTATAATTTGTGCTGCATTGATTTTTAAATTAGCGAGTATGAACTTATGCAGAGATGATATGACCAAGAAAGTAAAGATTACATGTTGGCAACAAAGAGTAGAGGTAGAAGCAAGTATAGATAGATTATGTTGAAGAGAAGATGCTTAAAAAAATTGAATGACAGCTGATAGATGTATCGAAGAGGAAGCAACAAGGAGATAATGACAATTTTGTCAAGTAATTTTTATGAACCTGACTAACACAGAAAACGTTGAGATAGTGTATTATAAGAAAATTAATGTTAAATGAAGAATTTAAACATGTATTTGATATTGTTTTGTGTCAGTATTACCGTATAGTATGTAGGCTGTAGGCGGTCTCGGAGCGCACGCAGTTGACGAGCTGCAGCGTGCGGAAGGCGAGCGCCTCCAGCACCGCGCGCACGAGATGCGCCTTGCTGGTGGACGGCTTGATGCCTACGAACCCCGTGCCCGCCGTGCAGTCGTTATACGGCGGCTATATACCGTGGAAACTTATACATTCACTCAAAAAAACAAATAACTGGACGGAAGAACCCTGACGCCTACAATACGAACCTAAAGCTTAGTGTAGGATAAAGACCACTTCTTATATTACAATTTTGTAACGAACTATAAACTATAATAAATAAATCTTTAAAATAATATTTTTGTTTCCCAATTAGAATATAATATACCAAACTGTTAAGAAAAATGCTATAATTAATCGGCTCCTTCGTAAAATGTTTAAAACGCAAACTTTACAAGTAAAAGCTTGAAACGCATCGAAAAATTAACATCATCGACAAAAAAATTACATATTTTCTTTAAAATCTCTCTTTATCACAAAAAATAGGCTGCATAAAATGAAAATCGCATTATTGTGGCTAATTATAATCTACTTAGGACCAACTAAATTTTAAAATGTCTTATGGATCTAAAATCTATTTTAATTAAAAACTCACCCCCAACCCGCTGAAAGCCGGTACAAAGTAAACGCCGTCTGTGTCCGAAACTGACATCGCTATGTCCGCTGTATCTGCAGGGTTATCGAACAGATCTGAAATAAAAAACATTGGAAAAATATATTAACCATAGACTATCAAGCTTTATTAGTAAGTTAAGCCAGCCGCGTTTTAGTCGCACGAAAATTGTGATTTTATTTTTTTAGCTCAATTATTGTTTTTTTTTCTATTTAATTTTTTCTCTTATAAGTAGAAAAAAAGAAAAGAACGTGTGTATTCCTTATTACAAACAAACATACCTATACTCTGTGCCCACTTGATAAGGGTGGCGGTGTCGTTGTTGGCGCCCTCCACCGCGTACACCAGCTCGGGGCCCAGCCGCCAGCCGAGCACGGGGTAGAGGCCCGCCAGCGCGGCGTGCGGCGCGCGCCCCGTGTTCACGTTGCAGAACGTGCCCGTGCCCAGCGTCAGCTTCGCCGCGCCCGCCTCGAAGCAGCACGAGCCCCACATTGACGCTGTTTGGTCCGCTATCTGCAGTACAATGTTGTATTGACAGTGGTAGAGCCCGCTTTAACGACTTCGCACTGCGGGGTCGGCTCGCCCGGTAATACCACGAGAAGTGGGAGCAATCCCGCGATTCGTCTGATAAGTATATCCCTTTTCTTTCCCGTCCTTTTTCTTTTAAGAAACAGATGGGAAGGGAACGTGGACTTGACTCTGGAGGAGCCGCATAGGAAGGGGAAATATCCTCTTTAGGTGCGTTTCCTCCAACGTCGATTAAGGGTAGGCAATGCATCCGCTATTGCGAGAGTCTATGGGCAGCGGTCACTTCGTCAATTTTGGCGGATTCAGGTGGCCGCTTGCTCGTTTGCCTCTTTATGATATTAGTACAAATATAATAACTATATCCACCAGTATAAATTGAATCAAATGAAATTCACCAACATTTTACAATAGCTATTTCTGTTTTTATAAACCTAGGGGAGGGGTATGTGTATGGAGAAAGTAAATAAGTTATATAAAATTATACCAAGAAAACTAGAGATTAAATCATATTGAAACATAAAACTCCTAGCATAAATACTAACACAACATCTAATAGGTATTGCACATCCAAAGATATCCGGTTCAGTACTTGTGAAGTGGTCTCCCGCGGTATCAACGACTTCTGGGAGCGCTGACATCGGAATACCGAATATGGACATGGCCCAGCTGGCCCACTGCATTGTGAAGGGGTCGAAGAAACCCGTCGCAGATGCGGACGACACGTCAGTCATATGCAACTTGTTACCTGGTAATAAAAACCTTGTGCCAATCCAAAAACCAAAATAGTTACATTACACAAACAGAATGTTTTATGCTAAAATGCATTTCTAAATATTTAGAACTAGCTGTTGCTCTCGACTTCGTCGTCTAGTCATGTTGCTTCTTAATAATGAAATTTTTTTCTAAATCAGTCCAGCAGTTTTTGAATTATTTGAATACATACAAAAATACAAATCTTTTCTCCTTATAATATTAGTATAGATAGATAAAACTCCTACATAAACTTTAGTGTATTAAAGCCATCATAAGCGGCAGTCTATGATCTAAGCTAGGTCTACTGAGGGACATTCCTCCCCCCCCCCCTAATATTTTATTTTGATAAAAGAATATCAAAATATTTCACACAGGTCAAGGCATATGAAATATAATCTGCTATTGCGTGACACGTTTAGAATTATTCAAATGTATTCATGATTTGAAATTGCCTATTTGAATATTTAACTTCCAAGACTTATGAATAATAATTATTCTACATAATATGTACTGTATTTTATCGTCATTATATTTTATTAGCAATAAGACTACATAATTATATCTTTAATGATAATAAATGTAAATTTAGAAAAAATATTTTTAAAGTAATATATTAAATGGATAGATATATCTTGTTTAGAGTTTGTACCCTAAACTGCTGAAGCGATGTCAGTGAAATTTGGCATAAACGTAGAGTATAGTCCGGAAGAACACATACTTACTTTGTTTTTTAATTCCGCCCTACGGAGTTGCATGAAAGCTAGTACACTATAAATCTTGAGCCAAAAGTTACCTGTTAACTTGTACAATAGCCAGGTATCCAATGTACCGAACATCGCATCGCCGCTCTCCACCGCAGTCTTCAATGATTGGACGTTATTTAACGCCCAGAACAATCTTAATGTGGTCTGAAATGAAACATTCCAAAAGTTAAGCAAAGAAATTGCTGCTACCACAGTATACGCGCGACTTGATGTGGTACCCATGTACCGTCAGAGAATTTTTATAGAAAAACTTTCGCTTCCCATTTAGACTTATGACCTTTGACTAAAATATCGCACAACTATTTAGTCTCGCATTGATTCCTATGTGTTTATGAGGTGCGCTACTCGATTTTTAGCTGTGGAACTAAACAGTTGAATTGGCTGCGATTAATCGACAATCGAACAACAGTTGTGTTTTACTAGCTTAAACCAAAGACAATACAGGTATAAACTTATCTTACTAAAATTATGAATGCGAAAGTTAAAATGGATGGATGGATATTGGTTTAGAGTTTGTAGCCCAAACAGCAGATCTCGATGAAATTTGGCATAGATATAGAGATGGAAGGTCACATAGGCTAATCATTTTTTTTTAATTCCGCACCGACAGAGTCGCGAGCGAAAGCCAGTATTAGTATAAAAATTAGACGCGTAAACGCCATTAGAATATAGCATTACGATATAAAAACTGAACAAGGAACAATGACCAAACAAGGTCGCCTTTTGTTTTTAATTACATTTTATCAGACCATTGTTTTTAGGTCAACACGATAATGTAATAATCTCCATACCTACGGCTTATAGAATTTTTAATATAATACTTAATCAAATATTAAGCCGTTTGTGAAGTAATATGTTGACCTTCAGAGTTTAACCTTCGACAAAACATATTATTTATTTCTACTTCTTATTTTGATGTTTGTTTTGGAGTTTTAATTTATGATAGGTGTTGTGTCCGCATTAATAAAAATTAGGGCTAGTAAATAATGTGGACCCAAAAATAACGGCAAAAGAAAAACCGGCCAGGGTTCTCTCATCCATAACTCCTTGGTAGACTAAACTACGTAAAACCCGAAGTTAAAATCAAACTAGAAGGTGACAGCCCTAGATAGGGCTCAATTACTACGAACAAAGATATGCAAGTTTTTCCTTTGCATGTACCTTTTATGTAAAACGATAGTTTTTTTTCATAGTAAGGTGACATGAAGTAAGCCACCATACGAATTCGCCAAAATAGCGAAAAGACCATTGCCCATAGACATGCGCATTTACAGATGCGTTGTCTACCTTTAAGAAACAGAGGTAGGGGCGGACTGAAAGTTGATATTTGCATTTATGCCTATTCCCTGCCAATTACTATCCAATTTTTGTTACGATATTCACTAATTTACTTCCCAATAGTTTATTTTTGAGCCATTTTTTCTCTTTAAACTTTAATTAAACGGTATGTTTCCATTAACCGACCTTCAACGCGAAATTATTACGCAGAGGCATTTAAAATGCGTTTTTAGACGGCGTTTAAAAGAGACGTAAAACTGTTAACTACAATAATATGAATGCTAGAGTCGTATGTCAAGGACTGGCTTTTATTCAAATGTAATGTTTTGAACACGTCGAAAAATTGTTTTTCAACGCATTTTTAATTGCGATTTAAATTTTCCTTTCTGTCTTATTTTTTACATTAAGTTGATAAAAAATATAATAAAATCATGGAATAACAATAATGAAAAGTTAAACGTATTTTGCCCTGTATAAAACTAAATTGTAAGTGCCTGTCCCACCAAATTGTAAAATGTTTGATAACGTTCCGAGATGGAAATATCGGATTTTGTCCCCTTATCTAACAGTGACATCATTAAGCTATCTGAGCCTCTATCAGCCAGTGGTGGGACAGGCTCTAATACTTTAAAAATTAACATGTTAACAGAATCAAATATGGTGATTTTAAAACAAAACATAGTTACCTAATGAGTTAGTGTAATTAGAAAATAATCCCATACAATGTACATGCTATATACTTTGTACATACAATAATTATTATTACTCAAACAAGCTCTGATTGACTCATTTACAATAACATCCATTGTCTATGAATAAAAACATTTGTAAAAAATGTCTATTTTATAAGTTACACTAGCTTCTGCCCGCGACACCGTCCGAGTGGTATTAATAAAAACAAAAGAAAGTAGTCTAAGTGTTCTTCCAGACTATCCTCTACATTTATGCCAAATTTCATCCAGATCCATTCAGCCTTTTAGGATACAAACTAACAAACATCCATCCATCCATTCATCCACCCTTTCACATTTATAATATTAGTAAGATTGGTAAGAAGTAAGATTAAAGAATTACCTGATTGTTTGAGAATTTAAAAACACTTCCTGCTTTAAACCGCTTACTTCTTGATACCATATGCAATATGTAAGCTCCTACTTTGATAAACTAAAAAGAAAAAACAAAATTTAAAAAAAAATTACCATACAAAAACAGTTTTTAGCATTTAAGAGACAAACCTTCCATGTATACGAATTATTCCATTCCTTGACTAGTTTGTCAGCCCGTAAATCCTTCCATGTACAGAATCTGTGAAAGGGTTGACCATTCTTGCGGGACCATGTGATAAACGTGCTACGCTGGGTCGAAATGCCCATTGCTGTTATTTGACCCGCGGAGAGACTGGCATCTAGTATAAAACAGTCATAGACATAATGATGTAAACAAAAAAGTATTAAAATTGCTACAAAGGTAGAGGAAGACGAAAGAATGAATGGTGTGAGGATATGCTTAAGGGAGTAAATGCAGACTTGACAGCTAATAAAGATGTATGAAAGAGTAAATATTATATAGTAATACATATTTTGCCAGATCTCTATAGGTACAAGAAAAGGTTGATGTAGACAAAATAATATTGAAATAAACCCATCAATTTACATCCTACTGTCTTGCTTAACCTTTTTGTAGTTAAAGAATTTAATTAGTAGCCCTATTTAGATAAACATCAAACAATTATAGCTATTTTTTTGTTGTATAAGTTGCTACATAATTTTGATTTCCTTTGTGTTTGCATCAACATTTTCATGGAATGAATAAAAAGGTTTTTATAATTTAGATATGTGAAAAATGTAGCCATGTATTTATTATTGCAATAACTATTTTTATGTTTTTTATTAATAATGTGCTCAAGGGTCATTTTTTATACAAACATCTAATTCTACACATAAGGAAAAAACAATCAATTAAAATGCAAAATACAACTGCAACCAATTATTGCATTTGCCCATAAGAGTAATAAAAAACCAGTTCTTGTATTTTTATATTCTTAGCTCATTTATAGGTCTCAATTTTAAAAAAAATGGATGCCGGTTCTAATTAGTATGATAAAGGTTTTCAAAGTCGTTGAAGGTAACCTTCCTTATCTTACTATCTTTGTGGCAATTTATGTGAAGAGTCTACAAGATGCTAAACACCACATTTTTGCAACCAACACATATTATAGACTTATTGTTCCTTGTGAAAATATTAGTTATTTAAACTATAGCCTATTCTATTCTACAAAGTAGAATCCTATTCATTCAATTTATACTGACATATATGCTCTGAATTGGCAGTAAAATCTTGGTAACATTTTTGTGGCCACATAAAGATCATTTTTTAATTATTTGAAAAATATACTAACTTTCGCCCGCTACCCTGTGTGTGGGATATGAAAAAAAAAACAAAAGTGAGTAACCTATATATTCTTCCAGAATATCCTTTACATCTATACTAAATTTCATCGAAATCCATTCAGCTGTTTAGGCTACACTCTAACAAACATCCATTCTTCCATCTAAACTTTCGCATTTATAATATAAGGTATGAAGTATGAAGTTTGATAGTAATATTTAATCAAATTTACCTTGTAAAGATTTCTTTACTGCATCTGTAATAGATACCCATAGTTCTTCTGGATCAATTTCTACATACCCAGGTTCCGGGTAATGCAAAACTACCTGAAAATAAAATAATTGGAATTAAATCTTAAAATTAATTATAATATCACAGACTTTTAAAAAAAATCGCAGAATACGGAGGATTATTAAAGAAAGATGACATTTAGGAAAATGAAAATAATGAAGGCACAGAATATATTGCTAAAATAAATTTTATTTTAACAACACGTAAATGAGTACCTGATTGAAGGCATTGCCCACAATTTCAGTTCTAGCGTTATAAATCACAGATCTAATAGTACTTGTTCCAATGTCTAATGATAAAATATATACTTCCTCCATTACGCCAACTCAAGTAATTTGAACGTAAGCGCTCATAAATAACTGAAAATAATTATTCCAATATCTGGTACTCAGAGACTTTCAAATTCCTGTTATGACTTGTGTGACACTGACATATGACACTGACAATATTTTTGTGACAACGAACAACTGATAGCTGACAGTAACGGTGGTCCGCTCTCTTTTAAGAATCATTAATAAATCAATATTTTGTTGAGCAGGTTTATGGAATGATTAAATCTATTTAACACGTATGGTTTAATGTATGATTTGTAATTTTCTCTTTTAGTTTAACATAAATTGTTTTCAGCAATCGTTTATCACAATATTCATAAGGTATTTTTAATCGATTGGGTACCTAAGTTGTGAAAAATCTCTACTTCTAATATCCTAGAGTTTTTATGTTGCCTATCTAAAGAATCTTAAAATTCAACTTGTGCGAATGATCATCCTGAAATTCGAACTACTTAGCAATATTTAGCCTGTACTAAGGGGAAACTTCATTATTTTTCTCAATGGCAATCATTAGCTTGCTATCTGACAGACAAGCGCGTTTTGTATTACGATAAAAGAAAATTGTGATGTAAAATAGAGAATAATAAATGTTTGTTGATCATAATGGCGAATCCTCGAAAATTTAGTGAAAAAATTGCTCTCCATAATCAAAAGCAGGCAGAAGAAACAGCCGCTTTTGAAAAAATTATGCGTGAAGTTTCCGATGCAACCAATAAGGTATGTCGCCTATTTACTCAGGCAAATACTTCCTGGCCGTCAAATGTGCGAGCCGACGTAAACAATAATCATTACAATATGACTATTGCGACTTAATTATAAATTAATGTTTAATTCTAACTAAATATAAACGGTACACAATGACTGATTATCTTCAGTTGTCCATAGTTTATATTATAACTTATTAGCTATTGTTATTTTTAAGAAGCTTATTTTTATTAAACAATTCGCAAATTCACTTCTCGGTGAAGGTTACAAACTTAAAGTTTACCATGTTAATGAAAACATAACTATATTTATATCTTACAACTAAATTTAGGTATGCTTTAAACCTTTTATCCTATACCTTCATGCTTTATTTTTGTTTAAATCAAATTTGATAGAGTTGTGCTCTGTTGTTTCGATAAATTTGGCAAAATAACAAGGAACCTTTATAGATAATTTTGCAATTTAACATTAAATATATTTATTAACATAAGGATAAAGAAATAATAGCAACAAATGTGAAGATATGAAAGAAATGTTACATGTTAAAGTCAGACAGGGATGTTGAAGCAACATGGTTGCAGGTAAATTCAAGTAGCCGTCGAGCAAGAGTTGTACCACCACCCGAACCTGTAGAGAATGTTGACACAACACTAAGGCCTACACAACAGACTATTGGCACATATAGAAGTGGATCTCTCCCTAATGTTGCTGCACCTCAGCCAACAACCACTGAACCAGAAACCAAAAAGGTTTCACACTTTGGAAACTTGTTACAATACCCTGTATTTGTTGTAGTTGTCTTATTTTTGTAGAGATGTGTGCAGACAGTGCTAGAAAATTTACTTTGGTAAATGTGTTTTTTTCTTGCACTTATTAGAATTTGTATCATCTTTATATGTTATCCTTGAGAATTATTAGAACAGAAAGCTAAGATGTATTTGTATTTACTTTATAACATGTGCGCTACAATTTTTTTTACTGTACTGGCTAGCATACTCATGTGTTCCTTCTGTAAACAAAATAATGTTATTCTTTACTATATCTTACAAATCATTTAGTAGTCTTTATTGTGTTAGTTATAAAAACTATTATTAATTGTTTATAGTGTTATTTTACTTAGCACTTTGTTGTTATTACTTTTAAATTAGCATGATTTTTTTTTTGATAGTTGCTGTTTTGAAGGAAATGCAAAATATTTTGTGTTAGTAATTATTATGTTAATTTTGTTAAATTATTCAGAGCATGATCATTTCAATCTTTGAAATATAAAATGAAATAATTAAGATAATGCCTTTTTCGAAAATTCGAAATAGTATTATGTGCATTACACTTGAAGAAAATAATGTTAACAAAATAACTTTATTATATACTTAAAAAATGTAATTCCCAACTGGACCGTAACTTAATTCTATTTGGTAAAATCTTAAAATAACAATTTTTTTATATATGGGATATTACTTTTTTTGTCCATCAAATATTATCTGTATTTAATAATAATTTTGCTTTTTGTTTCCAATTGGAAAAAACAAAGGAATGTGATTGGAGATTCCCATATGTGATTATGTTATTAGGGTTAAAGTAAATTTTAAATAATCCATTTGGCTAATAACATGTGTTGTGTTTTCTTGTTTTTACATAGATTATTTAATTTTTTTGCAGCCTGAGGAAACTCCAATACCAGCACAATATGGGATGAGCAGTGGCCGAAGTGGTGGAACATCCCCATCACGGACACCAATACAAAGAGGCAGGGCATCATCTTCTGTTGGTCCTATGAGACGACCTGCGGATCGAAAACACGACACTAGCCCTTATGGAAGCAACGTCTATTTGAGGTAAGTGACACATCAATTTAGTTAAGGCAACATTGTTGATTCATTCTAGGAAATCTCATTCATAATTTATTAATTTATTGTTTGTGCATCATGACTATATGAACAGGAAATATTTTGCATTACCTTTGGGTCGGCTTTTGTCACTACTATGATGTTAAGTAAAGGTTCATTTGTTTTCATAAGTTGTGATATACTGAATATTTTTTATATTTATCAAATACTACTTTTTTCCAACATATCTGAGCGAAATAAATGATAACTTGGAAAGTAGCATATGTGTTCTTTAAGATATTTTCTACAATTGTGCTAAATTTAATCAAAATCATTTGTGAATTTTAGGCATACCATCTAACAAACATTTATTCATCCAAACTTTCACATTTATAATATTAGGAAGATGTTAAGTAAGAAACATTTTAATAAATATCTAAATATTCAAGGATATTTATTTTATTCCTATCTCTATAAACGTCATTGTATCAACAAAATATGCTACTTATAGCTTGTATAGCGATACATGCATGATATTTGGTCGTAAGTGGGATGCGAATTTAATTCCTTGATTGTATTTCCATTGCAGTCCACCACCGGACAGCAGTTGGAGGCGTACTAATTCAGACTCCGCGCTGCACCAATCGTGCGGCGAGGTGCAGCAGGCCGCGCCACCGCTCTCCCCGCACCACCCGCTGCACTCGCACGCGCACCCGCATCTACATCCACACCAGAACCACCGAAGAGGTATGTAGTGTAACGCATTAATAGTAACTAGCGTAATTCGTAACGTACGTAAAATAACAATTTTGAATTAAAATTTCTTTTGATGTTATCAATGTTTAATTTCAGGACCAGATATCCACCTAGATGTGTTGGCAACACTAGGTATGAATCCCACAAATCGTCCCCGCTCGTCTTGTGAAATTCCAAGAATACCAAACAATAACAAGTAAGTGTGATTTATTTGTCCACTGTACTCTTTAGTTTGGCGTTACTACTGGAAACTAATAAATATATTTCCATCTATGTTACTTGACAATATTTGTGTAAATGTATAAAGTACATGCATTTGTCCGCGACTACGTCGTAAAAAAAATAGACTATATGTTCTTTCAGACTGTACTCTGCATCTACACCAAATTGCATCGAGATCGGTTCAACTAAAGGGCTAAAAATTCTAACAAACATCTGAATTTATGACTGAATTGCCACCGTTTGCCTTGAATTCACCCGGCTTGAGGTGGTCGAGCGCAGTTGGCGCTTAGCCTAAACCTCGTTTATGAGTTACTAAGCTTGAGGGCTCCCTTAGGAGTCTGGCACGGGCCGTTACTTCTATACTAATATTATAAAGAGGAAAGATTTGTATTTTTGTATGTATTGATATAACTCAAAAACTACAGGGCCGATTTCAAAAAATCAGTGAGTAACGTAGGCTATATTTTTTATTAATATTTAATTTCTCGCGGGCGAAATCGCGAGCAACAGCTAGTCGTTAATGTAATATTAGTAAGAAGTATGTGGTATAGTGTGTACGAGAGCGGCGGGGACGGCGGGGGCGGCGGTGGCGGCGGCGGGGGCGCGGGCGGGCTGGTGTGCGGCGAGCTGCAGGTGCCGGGCGGCTCGCTGCCCGACCTCACCGCGCTGCACTACCCGCCGCACGCCACACACACCGCGCACTACCTGCCGCACCGGACCTCGCCCGACTACCACCCCAGATATGTAAGTATACCACGAATTATATTACCTACCCCACTAACTTACCATGTTGCCGACTGATGGACCATTCAAATATAGGTTTTGGTTTCATATTGTAACATTGCACCTTATGTAAATGTTACAATATGAAATACAAATGTGACTAAATACCATCATCATTGTCACCAGCTCACTATACATCCCCACTGCGGGGGACTAGGCCTTAGCAAACCATGCTGTCCCACTGTGGGTTTTTTCCAATACTTTTTTATTTGGTTCTCCCGTGTGTTCTTCAAAAAAAAAGGACAACAGTACAAAGTCCAATTATTAGGTTTGTCCGAGAAAAAAATTACCACTGCAAATACATTATTTTAGACATACGGGTAAATTTTCATCCGAAATCATGTTTTTTTGTTTTTTTTTTTACAAAAAATCGGGCAAGATACTTTGCACTTAACGATAGCCATTGAGGTCCTCTACGCGACAAAAACCGTTGATCTGTTCGTTAAGAATCACCCTGTAAATCGTGTTGCAGAGCCCGAGTTCGCCGGGTGCGGTGTCCCCCGGCGGCGGCAGCGTGTCCCCTGCGACGGGCGGGCTGTCCCCCGCCTCGGGCTCGCCGGTGGGCGCCACCGTGCCCACCGCCGCGTCCGCCGCCGCCCCCGCGCCCGCGCCCTCCCTGCGCACGCACGAGCACTACGACGCACAGGTCAGTGCGCACAGAGACTACACGCACTACAGAGACCCCGCGGCTACGGTGAGTAAACATCGATCATAATCGATTTTAATATCGATTTATCGATTCTTCTATTATAATTTACGTTCAGAGATTGAAGAATATATAGACGAGACATGTGAACTTTTCACTGGTACTTTCTCTGTATGGTACTATTTAAATTTGACATGCAAAGACGTTTCTCTGTGTTTTTGGTGAATTACAATTTACATAATTCTAGAACATTTGCAGTATTGTAATAAGATCTCTCTGTATTGAATAGTTTTATTACTTAAGAATAAAAGAGTTCTTGCTCAGTCGGTAGGCAAACTATGTAATAATAATTTATGTGCTTTTAACTATTCAATAAGAGTTATCGCTATGTTATTGACATAAGTAATAGTGATGATTATGTGAAAAATATTTAAAGTAAAGTGCCTGTTATGTCTCCTCTATATATAATTTAATCTCTTTGTTTAAGATTGACGCGTGTATTGTCAGAAATACATACAATAAATTGTTGATTTTCGCTGCTTATAGTGAGTAAGATTGACAGTGATGATATTATTACTGTAGCTTATAGGAAATAAGAACAGGCGTTGTATTTATCTTAAAAAAATATATGTAAATGGAAGCAAATAGTTTGTGCGATGTTTGGCCGCTACATACTGTGTCGTGAGCAGTCCGATAGTCCACATGTTAACTGTTTTTGTTGTTATTTTCCTTTGTGTTTATTTGCTTACAACACGAATCATTTTTATGTTTTGTTTATTTCAGAATCACTTATCTGTACCAAACACAAATAATTACCTTCATCATAATAAGGTTCGTTTTCTTTTATAACCTCCTTTTTAATACATTTCCGAAACCATTCACTTACGCAAGTGGTTCGCTTTAAATGCTATCTCGAACCGTTGAAATTAAAACGGTTACAATCTTGCTAATTAAATAACCAATGCGACAATCCAGCTTTATAAAAAGCTTTTTCTATCATTTTTAATTTATTCCCTAAATCTGCATGTATTTTTTAATATTTCATCCCAATGCTTTGACATTGAAGGATTATGCTTCTAAAAACCTCAAACTAAGGCTTATTTTTATTCTAACCGGTTTCGAATTCATACGCATATATAAAATGCATGTGTTTAAAGATATATGGAGATCGCAGTTTACGTCATTTCCTTCAATAAATGTTAAAAACAATTAAACAAATACTTGACTTTATATAATTTCCTGCAATTATACACTTGAGTATAGTTTTACGATTCAGTTACCTTTATTATACCTTATTCTAGTGAAGTATTTTATTATAAAGAACATTTAAACGTAAATGTTAGACAAATATGATTTTAAAATTCATATTGCTATTTGTATCTAATATTTTGTCTGTTATAGTTTGTTACGTTTTAATATGTCCAGGAAGATTTAATTAATTACTCCTACAGCTTAACAAGGTGAAAAGAACATTTAGACGCATTAATGAATATGTATAAAATAAGCTTTCACCCGCGACTCAAACACGCACACACACACACGCATTCAAAAAACAAAAGTGAGTAGGTTATGTGTTCTTCCAGACTATTCTCTACATCTACAGCAAATTTCATTAAAATCCGTTCAGTCGTGAAGGCTATTAAACACTAGCAAATATCTATCCATTTATCCATCCATCCATCCATCCAAATTTTCGCATTTATAATATTAGTATGACTATGTATTGAATATGGTATTTTGTAAGTGGTTCTTCTATTGTTAATGTATTGGTTGTGGAAAATATATATGTCGCTTGGGAATATGCAGGTAAAATAAAATATTCATCTCAAATCAAACCAGCCTGTGAAAAGAGTCACCTTTCGTATAATATGTCTCGAGATCCCATAAGCGTTGTTACCCTTTTCTAAGGCTGGATCGAAATTATTTCCAATATTTTTAAACATTATTGTATAATAAGGATTATATGTAAAAAGTATTTAAAATATATTAATCTTAGCATGAGCTTTATTTTTCTTTATGCATATATATGTCATTATTTGAACAAATGGTCAAATTCTATGTTTTAACTGCATGTTGCTTGGTCAGATATTATTTTTTGCTTGGAAAATCTAAACACAGATTTGATATTAAATCAAATAAATTACTGATAATTTATTTAAAATTTCTCTCACATAAACAACCTTTCTAACGATTTTAAGTTATTTCAATATATACAAAAATACAAATCTTTCCTTTTTATAATATTTGTATAGATTATCCAAACGAAACTTAAATTCCAACAAGAAATATACTTGGAAAGCAAAGCTTGTCTATATTTTATTTATTTTATACTTTATGGTTATTAATTTAAGGTTGATTTTTCTTTGCAGTGAATGGTTTTATCTCTTTTCAGAACATGTCCCCGCTGGACCACACGTGGATGACGTCAGGCTACCAGTCGCACTGCAGTCCGCCCTCGCAATACTCCTCAACCTCCAATATAAACATACCATCTCCTACTGTAAGTAATATATGAAGGGTTTCATTGCTTAAAAAAAAAACATATTTAAGTATCCACAAATTGTTGAAATTTAGTGTTTATGAGAGTAATATTCTATTATAATAAAGCGACACACACACTACTTCGTGGCGTAGGATATCAACAATCATACCATATTTTTGAACAATTCTTTCTTTAATAAAAAGCCCTACACTTACTACACGCTTTAGAACATATATTTTCACGCTATTAAACTTAGGGGGTAAATTAATTTAAAAAACTTTCATGTGAGGAAACAGACCATAAACTGCAAACTGTCAACATTAAGGAACCAAGGTTTTTATGGCGACGGTAATTTTGACATTTGAAATTGGGAATTTGACAAACGTAACAATAAAATAAAGATTTTTATAATTTCACGCTGATGAAGCCGCACGGAAACAGCTAGTGTATTATAATTTTGAGGTGGTTCTAACATTTAAAGACGCCAAAGGTCATATTTTAAATTATAAATATAACAGCTTGATACATAGGCGTCGCCAGCTGATAATCTGGCCTGTAATGTTGAGGGAGTTACCATTTTTATGGTCTTATACTGGTAGTTGTATATATTTTACATTTTTCGAGTTTTAGAAAGCCTTCTGTCCCTAGGAAAAGGGCAGTTGCCCCCTTTTCTTCCTAGGGACTGAAGGCTTGACTCCAAGATATCCCGGGATATGACGTAGTCCTTATTCGTCTTTAATTTAATACTTTTTTAACCTATCTTTTACCTACTAAGCTACATCTATGCTAATATTATAAAAAGGACAGATTTGTATTTTTGGATTTTTGTATGGCATAACTCAAAAACTACTGGGCTGATTTCAAAAATCCTTTACCTTTGTTCGTTTCTTACGATTCTTTTACTATTTCTTAATTTCACGTGAACGAAGTTTCGAATAACAGCTAGTCTGTAATATGTTCGAAGTATTGGTTGTTAAAAATTATCTTGTTATTACCAGATGCACAGTCCGGGCAGTCCGGTGGAGTCTCCGCAGACAGACTACAATAACCTGCACCAAGCGCTCTTACAGCCTTTCGAACAAATCACTATGGTAAGTTATTGTAGAAAATAACCATTTCACTCAGAAAAAATATATTTGTTGATTTATTAATTAAAACACGATTCATACGACGAAAAGTGTTACATCTACAAAATTGCAGAAGGTCATTTTATGAATTTAATTTAAAAAATGTATTAAAGTATATTGATTACATTAATTATCTATACTTAACATATAACTTTTTTCGTCGCAATGATCGTAATTATTAAAAGTTTATTAATAAAATTTCTGTTGTCTTTAATTCTTTAAATAATGTCTTTGTATGTACAGTAGAACCTGGATAACTCAAACCTCAATAACATAAAAACCTCTATAACTTCAAAAAATAATATGTTCCCGTTCCCGTCAGAGCCCAAAACCTCTATAACATAGACCCTTGATAAGTTAAAACCTCTATAACTTAAAATATTTTGTGTTTCCCTTAGACTTTAACTTATCGAGGTTCTACTGTATTTAAATTCAATAGGCATTGATAATTGTTATATAAAACGCAGATTTTAACATTTAAAATATTTCTATGCTTCAATGGAATAGCAAGGAGTTGTAAGTAATAAGTATTAATG